TTGTACATATAGAAGAGTCATTCAACATGGAGGAACAAGTCTCTGTGGCGCAATCGGTTAGCGCGTTCGGCTGTTAACCGAAAGGTTGGTGGTTCGAGCCCACCCAGGGACGGTAAGCTTTTCTGTTAATCTTATGTTTATTTTCTTCTTTCAGTGATAAACACGATTGTCAAATTGACACAGCAAAACTCTTCATCCACACACATTTATACATTTGTTGTGGCTTACAGGTCCACTAGTGATGTCTTTGTTGTACACTTAATAAAGCATCAAAACATCTACAATTAACTAGCTTACTCCCTGTCTAATAGTGTGTTTTTATGTGTTTTTATAATACTGATTTTCAGTTGATGAAGAATCAAACAAACATTAAAAGCAAAACCAAAATAAAATGTATATTTAGATGCAAAACACACCCCACACTTACAAATGTATAGTGTAAATTGGCCAGGCATTAAGCCTGACACACTTGACATCCAGGTATTACAAATTATCAAAATATTTGGCTAGGAATTTGTGTTATTATAGTGTTATTACACATTTACTACTCTACTTGTTATTTTACTTCTTATGCTTTATTAAAGAGCGACATCTAATGTTGATAAGGTGTAACTACAACTACTGTCATTTATTCATTTGAAATAAAAAAAAATCATAATTGATTGTTTTATCCTTAATACAAGATAATACAGGTTGCATTGTGGAGGAGTGGGAAGCACGTACGCCTCACAGCAAGAAGGTCGCTGGTTTGAGCCTCGGCTGAGTCAGTGGGTGTTTCCGTGTGGAGTTTGCATATTCTCCCCGTGTTCATTTGGGTTTCCTCCGGGTTATCCGGTTTCCCCCACAAGTCCAAAAACATGCGGTACAGGTGAATTGGGTAGGCTAAATTGTCCATAGTGCATGTGTGTGATGAGTGTGTATGAATGTTTCCCAGGGATGGGTTGCAGCTGGAAGGGCATCAGCTGCGTAAAACATGGTGGATAAGTTGGTGGTTCATTCCACTTTGGTGACCCCAGATTAATAAAGGGACTAAGCAGAAAAACAACTAAATGAAACAAGATAATACATTTAAAATGGTTTGTTAGTTTTATCTTTTTAATATATTATATGTTTATATTTATAAGGCAAAGATATGGCTAATAAACTGTGAATATTGGTAAAAAAAAATTTTAAAAGCAGCAGCTATACTTTGAGAAAGATAAAAACATTAACTAAAAACATGATCCAAGGTATTTAATATTAGCCAATGGCAGAATTTGGAGTCATGATTTCAAATGCTATACACTGACAGTGATCACGTAAATATTTATGGAAACCTTTTTTGTAAATATATTTTGTAAACCTAAAACTGGCTTTTATGTCAATCTTCATAATGTGTCATTTGTGCATAATTTAGACCAGTGTTTCCCAGCCCTGTTCCTTGAGGCACACTAAGGGTACATATGTTCTCCTTGTCTGAGCCAATAACTTCAGGTTTTGTCTTCTTATCTTTTGGTGAGTTGATTCAGGTGTGTTTGATTAGGAAGAGGTTGAAAGTGTGTATTGTTGGTGTGCCCTCAGGAACAGGGTTGGGACAGACAGACTTAGGCTTTCTAACAGGAATCTTGTTTCTACTTAATGAAAGACACCAGGGGCCTTGACCACCAGGTCTCTGTGGCGCAATCGGTTAGCGCGTTCGGCTGTTAACCGAAAGGTTGGTGGTTCGAGCCCACCCAGGGACGTCTGATTATTTATTTCTTTGTCAATCAATTTTAGTAATTGGTATGAATGTTTTATGCACATTTTCCCCCATTCAGAATAAAGCCTCTGTTCTGTGAATGTTTGAGAGATCTGTTTCATTAGCCATACTAGGCTCTAATTAAATTCTAGAATTATATAAGAATTATAATTATATAAGAAAGTGTGAAAATATCTTGAACTTATATTACACACATTATTTTAGGTGTTTAACAAAGAAAAGTATCCACTGACTTTTAAGATAATGGAACAAGAAGTGCTAAAACACTGTCTGCATCCAAGCAAGCAACCTTGTTGCATTGCTACCTTGACAGGCAATGATTTCTCAGTCATTGTGTGACACACAAATCTACCTCTTCAAACCGATTCTTTAAAAGCACATTCATATACAGGCATTAATTTCTTTGTGAGTTGCAGCCTGAAACATATATATATATATAAACCCTGCAGGACTTTTTATAAATTTCGGACAAAGTTTCACTTACACTAGTAATTGATCCAAAATATTATGGATCAAAATCTACATTTTAATACGGAGCATGGTACATGCATACTAACACTCGTTAATCGTAATTATTGATAGGTGTTCAGTTTAATTGAATAACTATTCCTTTTATGAGGGCTCCTTTATACATTGTGAAAGAGTGACCTCTTGTGTTAGATTCAACGTAAAAACAACAAGTGTACATTTTCTTCGTGTTTTTCCTGTAGGGGGCGATAGAGGAGCATAGTTGACCGATTTTCTTTGCTGTTTGATTAACCAAAGCCTAGCATAGATATATACAATAGATGTCGCCTACCCTGTTGTTGTCTATTGGAATGAATGCGTCAATAGAGCCGCCGTTTTAGTACAGGGTAGTGCTCCTTTGAAATGAATGCACACATATATCTATGATTGGTAGTGTTCCCGGAGGTCAGTATGCAAATAATTATTTAATTACGAAACTTATAATTTTACATCACTTTTTTACTCTGATGGATCAGTCACAGTGACCGCACGGGCATTCCTGACAAAAAGCTTGTGTTTGTGTGGAAATGAACTATCCACTCTACCTATTGAATTTGATCTAATCCATATGCTGAAACACACCCTTCTCCTGCTTGCACTTCTTATACTAACGGAGGGAGTGGTCCCTTTGTGAATGAATCTCCGATTCTCTGTTATGAGCGACTCGTTCTCTAGCCGACAATAATACAAGTTTCTGGCACCGCAGCATCTCGTAAAAAATTATTTTGCATTGTTTGCTAATTTTATTCAACAAAACTAGCATAAGCCAAGTGTTTAGTGCGAGTTGGTGCTACTTTGCCTTATGGTGAATGCAGTAAGTGACTGTATTATCATCAATAACGTTACCCGTTTAGCACAAAAGTTCATAACGTACAAGAACGTAAAAAAACTAAACATTACCTATGAAATGATCTGCCTTTGTGCTTTGTTTTCTTTGTTTGCTCGTTACTACACCCATAGTCAAGTCAAGCATTTACTTCTGTCACCCTTTAAGGATAAACAGGAAAAAGATACAAAGAATGTGTCGATGTGTGAGGCATATTCAGTACACCAGGCATGCAGCATAGTAGAATACCGGGGTTGATCAAGCGACAAAAATTAGGACCAAGTTCTCAGGCTGGACATTTTCCCCATTGATTATGAAATAGTAATGAAATATGTACAAACGTAGTACAAATATGTACATCTCACATCTCTTTTTGAAAAAATAAAATAGAAATGAGAGAAAGTATATTAAAATCACAGGTATAAACAGTCGCAAGAAGTAAATAAGAGTAAATAAACATATAAAACATTCAAATTATTTATTGTTTTTTGTAGTTTTTCTTTTTCTAGTGTTACACAGTGTAGTATTATATTGTTTAATCTTATTAAACATCATTGGAAACTTCTAATTTCATTAAAGGTTGTTTATTGTGGACGAATGTGCTTTAGATTTTTAAAATACACTAACAAAATATTAAAATATTCGCACTGACAAAAACACAATACTGTTCACTGAACCCAACAAGGGCCTCCTAAGGCACAGGTGTCAAACTCAGTTCCAAAAGGGCCGCAGCCCTGCACAGTTTAGTTCCAACCCTAATTAAACACACCTGATGAAACTAATTAAGTCCTTTAGGCTTGTTTGAAACCTACAGTTAAGTGTGTTGGAGCAGGGTTGGAACTAAACTGTGCAGTGCTTCGGCCCTTTTGGAACTGAGTGTGACACCCTAGTCCTAAGGCATCTAACAAGTATTTATACAGTGGTTCTCAATTCCAACCCTCAAGTCTAAACTGTTCTTTAAACTGGGATTGTCAAAGTTTGAACAATTTGGAGTCTCTAAAGTTGGTCTGCAATCTTGACTTTACCAGGAGGCAAATATATATGAACAACAGATCTGACAATGTTCACTTGTGTGATGTTCACTCACCATTTTAACCATGATAAAGAAAAGCTGCAATCACACACTGGAGTCCAATCGCACACATTTATACTTCTATTTTCAGAGATTTTATTTTGCTCAGTGTACTGTTAGTCAATTAAGACTACAGTTTAACAATGTCCAGTCTGAAACTCTGCGGTTTAAATAGAAGATCAGCCCAGTACACTATTTGTTGTGTTAGTATATGATACGGTAATATAAAACAACATATTGTCTAACAGTAAAACCTTCACTGTGCTTCCATTTGGCTAAACAGACTCATAGTAAACCATAGTAAATCATAGTAAACACAGTATATGGCACTACTTGTTTGTTAAAGAGATTGCTTCACCCTATAATGAATATTCTGTCATCTTTTACTCAGCCCTTACTATGAGTTTCTTCTGTTATACACAAAAGAAGATGTTTTGAAAAATGCTGGAAACCTGTAACTATTGACATCCATTGTATTTGTTTTCCTACTGTGGACATCAATGGTTACAGATTTTCAGATATGTATCTTCTTCAGTGTTCAACAGAGGAAAGAACCTCATAGGTTTAGAAACACGTGAGTAAATAGTTGAGGGAGAACTCTCTCTTTAATTGAGTAAGGAGTCATTTAGAAAACTCACAGAAATGATGATCAGAGCTTCAGTTTGATTCACAGGATTTTATTTGACGTATTAGCCAACAATACATAAAAGCAGTTCAGCACAAAACAATTCAAAGAACAATTCATTACAAAACAATCATGAACACTTAATTATAAAACAATCAGTCTCTCTTATGACAGAACACCAGATTCATTAATGAGGTAGAAAATAGTTGAGCAGATCTTTGATGGCACTTTAGAGGAGAAAACTGTGACAGCACTGGACTGAAACTGAAAAGTAAGGTCTGAGGGGTTTGGAATGACATGAGGGAGTAATTAATAACTTTAACAGTCTTGTGAAATTTCTGGAAATGCTGCTGTTCTCCTCTTCGCTTCTTTAGTGTTTTCTAAAATGAAGAAAACAACACAAAGTTATTTCAGCAGTGATATGAAGGGCTGTCAAATAAGACTTGTGACTCTAAAAAGAGCAGAAGAGAAAAGAACAGGAATAGCATGAAGCAAAGAAAGACTGAAGATGTAGTTTTGTGCTCGGTGTGTTCCTCTACCTCCTCTTGTCTCACTGCTGCACAGGATTTGGGCTCGTTGGATTGAACCACCGGTGCTCTTCTAACTGATGTAACTGCAGTCGCTTCTCTGGATTGCGGACCAAACATTGGGAAATCAGGTCCAGGCAATCTGAAAAGTGACAGAGAGAGTGTGAAATATGTCTGCATACTCAAGATTCATGAACGTGTTTAAATCTTACAACATCAAATAACAAAACATTCACAATGAAAGGACTTTAATATCTACAGTAACCATTATATTGAACCCTTTTCTATTCGTGACTGACATTTTTTATTCTGTCACTGAGGCTGAGATTGTTCAGAAGAGTCTGCTTACCTAAAGATAAGGTGAGGTCTGTCTGGAGGTCTCCAATGATTATCGAATGCGTGTCGTAAAAGGCCAATCGTGTATGTAATATTTCATACAGGATGAGGCCTAATGTCCAGACGTATGCCGGGTTAGGAAAGAATGTGGGATCCCTCAGAACCTCAGGCGGCGTGTAAAGTAAGGCTCCTGTAAGAGAGACATTTTCAGAATTCAGTCATTTCATAAGACAATACTGTGACCAAAGAAACTCCCACAAAATGCCCACTCACCTCGATAATCACTGCTGTTGAAAGGCTCGCTGGTGATTAGCCGAGCACAACCAAAGTCAATCAGTTTGAGCTCTGATTGGGGTTGAGTCACCAGGATGTTCCCCGAGTGGATATCTCCATGGAAAACTCCACGCTCAGCGCAGAACTTGACAGCTTGGATCAACTGATGCATTAACCGGCGTGCGTGGTTTTCATCAATGTCCAATGAACTTCTGAGATAATAAGCCAAGTTCTGGGATGACTCGGCGTACTCCAGAAAGAGAACAAAGTCGTTCTTATTCTTAATCCAGTGGTGTAATGTGATGATGCTGGGACAAGGTGGGTCCTTCATCAACTTAAGCATGATTGCCACTTCTGCAAGCACAGGTTTGGAATGGCCATCCTAGAAAAAAAACAGATTTCAAAGATATTACCAAAGCAGAACGGCACAAAGTACAGAAACAAAAACTTCATGAAGTAAATAATCACTAAGCTCCTGTTTGGACACATGTTTGCTTGTATTTGAGCATTTAGTCATGCAGTTTAAGCTAAAAGAGGACTCTACATGTGTGTGTTCTGTCTGTGTGTATGACGCAATGATCATTTTTATCTGCATTAATGTTAAATGAATATTAATTAACTCCACAGCCCTACAATTATGTGTTCAAAACTAGTCTCTGGGTTTATTTCTTCCGCTGAACACAAAAGAAGATATTTTGAAGAATGTTGATAAACCAGTAAGCAGTGACTTCATAAGTATTTTCTTTTTCTACAATGGAAGTCAGTGACTCCCTGTTTCCAACATATCAGCTTTTGAGTTCAGTTTAAAGTGGTCCAGACAGGTACGGGACAAGTGAAGGATGAGCAAATGATCAGCACATTTTTACTTTTGTGTAATCTGTTCAACTTACAACGTCGAGATAACGGTCCTGTTCACGCTTCTTGATGTACTTCAGGGCAACCTGCGGAAAAACAACAACAAATGAAATGAAAGCCGACAAATGATTTATATTGAGTAATCAGGAGGAAAATGTTGACTGAATTTGAAAAATAGTTCTCTACCTTTGTTCTCTCATTAAATACGTGAGATCCCAGATACACCTTGCCAAAACTTCCTTCTCCAATCAGCTCTTTCACTTCAAAAAGACCCACCCTAGATCCTGAAACACAGAAAAACAGCAGGGAGATTTACTTGGATTGTCTGGTATGAAACAGATCAAATAAATGACTCGAATCCTTTAAATCTGGATCTAATGCAATGAGCTAAAAGCAGAAACTTCCATCAGAATTGCAGGAGTAAACTGATTACTAATTTATAATAATAAAAGGAAATGATCACTTACCAAGAGTGAGCCCAGAAGCCTCTTTAGGCTCTTCAAGAACTGACTCGGACTCAGACTCAGACTCGGACTCGGACTCAGACTCGGGCTCGGACTCGGGCTCGGGTTCGGGCTCGGGCTCAGGTTCAGGTTCAGGCTCAGGTTCAGGCTCAGGCTCAGGCTCAGGCTCAGGCTCAGGCTCAGGCTCGGGCTCGGGCTCTGGCTCAGGTTGTGGTGTAAGATGCTGGACTACATCTGTGCACATCACATCACAGCACAGGAAAGGACGCGTTGAAGCCTTCCATACTCTCTTGAAGAAAGCAGAGACTCTTTTGCCTTTCCTTCCTTTCTTGGGTTTTTCTAAAATGAAGAAAACAAACAGAAACATCTCCATGAACAGAGCTGCAGCTACAGCGCTCAGCATATTCACATATGCAGTACACCCCTTTTAGAAAATTAATATTTTTATCCATTTCTCAGTGAATCTGGGTAATATATATTGGTGCATTTGAACAAAACAGATTTATCAAACAGATTTATTTATTAAAATAATAATTTAGTCACAGAACATCTTTAGAAATGGAAAGATAATCGATTAAAGACAATTAATATCATGCAAAATATTGCAAAATTTACAAACTACAACATTTTAACAAAATTGTCAATATTTTTGTTTCCCTTAGATTTTTGCTAATTTTGCAAATTTTATTTAATATTTTCCCTGAACATATGCATTTGGGCTACTAATTTTTGAAAACATTATTTAGTTATTTTGTTAGATAAGCTCCAGATTTGGCTTCAGTTCTTACTAAACTAATGTACATGCACAAATATAATATTATAAAGCCTCTTATAGAAAATCTGAATTTAAATGAGAGATTTGTGGGGGGTGCACTCATATATGTTTAGCACTGTATTAATACACAACCAACAGTACATCAAATGACACTGTCTGATTTATAAGCTAAAAACAACAAAGCATAAAAAATAACAGACGGCAGAAATAAAATGAACCACATTCAGGATGACTCACCATCAGTCCCATCAATATCAGAGGGGTCTTGAACAGACGGAGGCGACTCAGGACAGGCCGAATCTGCATCCGTCATGTTCTTAATATTTGAGAGGTCATGGACACTGATTGGCTGAGGATCTTCCCAGACCTGGCCTGGCAGAAACACCAGCTCAGTATCAACATGACCTGTGAGGGCCGTCGAGGACTCTGGACGGGCCGGATCTGCATTCGGCACATCTGCTGTTTGCTTGATGCTGAAGGGGCCCGGAACACTCAACGGCTGAAGATCTTCACAGACCTGGCCTGGCTGCCACACCGGCTCAAGGTCTGCATGTGCTGCGACGGTCCTGGAGGGACCTGGAACAGGCAGGTGCTCGCAATCGTCGACATCTGACCGTGGTTCAAAGGGAACCACTCTGTTCCGGTCACAGCAAAGGAAAGGGCGCTTCACAGCCTTCCATGCTCTCTTAAAGAAAGCAGAGGCTTTATTCCCTTTCCTCCTTTTCTCTGTGTTTTCTGAAATAAAGAAAATGAACAGGGCAATATTAGAAAACTCTTTAATCACAGGTTTAAAATAGACAATGTGCTGTAAATTAGACATATAAAAGACAATCACACAAAAGAAACAACAATAATAAATGTATAACTATAATAAAAAATGTTTGAAAACTAAAATTAATTATGTGGAGTTGCAAATCATTTCTATGATGTAAAATGACAAACACAAGCTGACAAATAGTCGGTAAGTCATAAGACCATATTAGACATCAGGAAAAATCCTAAAAGCAACTATTTAGCAAAAATATTTTTCTGTTATATTATTATTAAGGAGAAAGTCAGAATGTGAGAATATAAAACCAACTTTACCTCAATTGTATTAATTCATCCCTGCATGAACAAATAAAGACTTAAATATAATATTCTCACTCAGTTTGCTAAAATATAACAAATATTCCTCCACACCATCAAAAACTAAGAAAATTACTGTGCAGATCTACACAAAGGATTTAAATTAAAGTAAAATTAAAATGATTTTTATCAGAAACATTAACAAGGCACAATTTCTGTTGAGTGGAAAGGAGAAACTTAAAAACCAGAATGTCATTACATATAAGAGCAGGGCTCTATCACAAAAATATACAAAACCATAACTACACACACAAAAAAACACATTACAATGAAGAGACGTTGCATATTTGCTACACTAATAACCTTACATGGCGATATATTATTATTATTTTATATTTTACTTCATAATTTACTGTATTATTAAATAATACGTGGGAATACACAGTTTTTGTAAACTCTCATCTCACCTGTTGGGCTTCTCATCACGGTAGAAGGTGAAGGAGAAGCCATCGTGTCACTTTGATGATTTTCGTTGACAAACTCAGTCGTGATCGTATTAACTCGATTAAAAAACGCAGCTGACGTGTTATTTGCCATTTGAGATGCAAAACAAGTCGCTAAAGTCGTTAAATCAATGTTCACTGTACTCGTTCGTTTGTCACTCTGAGTAAATTCTGAATTCTGTCCAGTGACGTAACGGCAATCGAATTCGTTCTTTTTATTCGTCATCGGTGGTGGGGGAGAGGGAGGGGGGCGCAGGCCGCGGGAGTATCCAAGATGGCGCTCTGATCGGTGAAGTTCGTTGATCGTGTTATGATATAAGTTCAGTCTGCACAAAAAAACAACCCAAACCCATCGCAATCTGTTGTCTGAGAGACGAGGCGACTTTTGCAGAGTATTTCTGTGCGAATCCTGAGATTTATGAAGATGTTCGAGGATTTCCTAGAGAAGACTAATTATAAAGAGCACATCTTTAATCAGTTTTTATTCCGTTCTTGTTTTCTGATTATTTCATTAAACATTTGTTGTGTTGTGCTTTTCACTTCATTTTTTCCTTTTATTTATTTACTTCCTTTTATTTAATTATTTTCCTTTATTAACATTTTTATTTATTTACTTTGTTTTAAATGTATTTTCATATTTTATCTGCTTTTTTTGGAGGAGATTGTCCATGTCCCACATGGTTGAAGAAAGAGGAGGTGAGTGTTTTTAATTTGTCATTAGTTTGTCTTTGGTTTGTCACTGTATAATGCTGTACGATGTTTGACTGATATGAAAAAGATCACAGAAGTTACCATGAAACAAAAAATATTTATTAAAAAGAGATTTTGATATATGTTAATATCAAAACAATTATAATGATGGAAAACTACTGAGTTGCTCAATAAAAACTGCAAGTTCCAATTGAAAGAGTGAAAAAAGTGACCAGTGAAAGTCCTCATAGTTGGGTATATCACTCCATATATCCATATTATTTAAGGATCAATTTTTGCATTAATATTAATTGTTTTTGTTGTTTTGTGTGTTCTTAATCAGTCCAGGACGTATATTTTATTAATAAGTACTGCATTTAATAAATTACTATTAAGTGTTGTTTTGTTTCAGAATTAGAATTTTTGCTTTTGGGATTTAAAAAAAATAAATCAACCTACAATCATATTATAGAATCTTCAATCTGTTTGCTAAATTAATTTAATGTGTAAAATTCCAGAAGGACACAATGTATATGTATATTTTTACAGCATATAGAGTTAAAGTCAGAATTATTAGACCCCCTTTTTATTTTTTCCCCGTTTTATGTTTAACAGATTTTTTTCAATACATTTCTAATCCTAATAGTTTTAATAATCTCTAATAGCTGATTTATTTTATCTTTGCCACGGTGACAGTAAATAATATTTTACTACATATTTTTCAAGACACTTCTATACAGCTTAAAGTGACATTTAAAGGCTTAACTAGGTTAATTAGGTTAACAAGGCAGGTTAGGGTAATTAGGCAAGTTATTGTATAACGATTGTTTGTTCTGTAGACTATCGAAAAATAAAATGTCTAAAGGGACTAATAATTTTGTCCTTAAAATGGTGTTTAAAATAATTAAAAACTGCTTTTATTCTAGCCAAAATAAAACAAATAAGACTTTTTCCAGAAGAAAAAATATTATCAGATATACTATCCTATACTATATAATATATCCTTGCTCTGTTAAACATAATTTGGGAAATCTTTAAAAAAGAGGAAAATATTTGAAGGGGGGCTAATAATTCTGACCTTAACTGTATATTTATGTTGTTGGTGCAAATTTTCACTTCAAAGAAAAAAAATCACAGTTTTATTAAAGTTGTGATCAACAGGAAACTTGCAGCATCTCATTTCTCAAATGCATTTGTGTTCTCGCAGTTCCAGTTTGCTCTTCCAAGGTAACCTGCAAGACCGACCAGTCACCACAAGAACACAAATCCATGAACAGACACAGCCACCATGGCCTTTGCTTCATTGCCTGCCCCATTATTTGCCTGATTTATTTTGGAAATTGGATCACGAAAATGGGACGCACAGTGGCGCAGTAGGTATTGCTGTTGACTCACAGCAAGTAGGTTGCTGGTTCGAGCCTTGGCTATGTAAGTTGGCGTTTCTGTTTGGAATTTGCATTTTCTCCCTCCGGGTGCTTCGGTTTTCCCCACAGACCAAAGACATGTGGTACAGGTGAATTGGGTTGGCTAAACTGTCCATAAGGAATGAATGTGAATGAGTGTGTATGGATATTTCCCAGAGATGGGTTGCAGCTGGAAGGGTTTATGCTGGATAAGTTGGCGGTTCATTCAGCTGTGGCGACCCCAGATTAATAAAGGGACTAAGACGAAAGAAAATGAATGAATGGACCGCGAAAATTAAATAAAATAACGTTATTCTTCAGGCGTAGAAAAACTGAGAAGAAAAATGACAAAAGATAAGCTCGAAATCATTTTAGCATCGCTTTTAAGTGCTAATGATGATGGCAATCTAATAGCACATTTACCGAAAATAGGCAAATACAGATTAATACACGTTGTCTACTTATATAAAATATCTTATTTTTTCCTGAATTTACAGACCTGTTTTTTGGTCTAAAATGCATTTTACTGAAATGCAATAGTACTTAAATGTCTTTCGCTGACATATTTTGTACATTGGTAATATATATTTTTTCCTGAGACATGTTTATAAAAGGGTGGTGCAATAGGTAGTGCTGTCGCCTCACAGCAAGAAGGTTGCTGGTTCGAGCCTCGGCTGGGTCAGTATGGCGTTTCTGTGTGGAGTTTGCATGTTCTCCCTGTGTCTCCGGGTGCTCCGCTTTCTCCCACAGTCCAAAGACATGCGGTACAGTTGAATTGGGTAGGCTAAATTGTCCGGGAGATGGGTTGCAGCTGGAAGGGCATCAGCTGTGTAAAACATATGCTGGATAATTTGGCGGTTCATTCCACTGTGGCGACCCCAGATTAATAAAGGGACTAAGCTGAAAAGAATGAATGTTTATAAAAGTTATGTCTTAATTGAATTAAGGAACAGGGAAAGAGACTGAAGGGTATAATAAAGTGTATGTCTGGGTATTAACATTAACCCAGTATTTGTTGCTTCCCTTTTTCTTATATTTTTTTATATTAATATTTTTCTTATTTAATTTATATTTTTTGCTTATTGATTTTATTATTTATGGATCAATTTTAGCATTAATGTTAATTGTTTTGTTGTTGTTTTATTTTCGTTTTCAATGAGTTATTATAGTTTTTAATGAGTTAAGGATGTATCTTTTATTACGAAGTACTGCATTTCAAGAGTTCCCCCTCAAACCCTGCAGGGCACCGGACCTCCAGGAATGAGATTGGTGATCCCTGATTTAGAGCAAGGTAGGGCCCCAAAATTATTCAGCTTATAGTCCCCAAATGTACAGGGCCGGCCCTGCATCCCACATAGCAAACAGACTTGGCCCAAATGTGGCCTAATTATCCCACATAGCAAATGGACTTGGCCCAAATGTGGCCTCATTATGGCACTGCTACCGTGTTGCCGGCACTGGCATGCATAATATTGGGGCACGGGTACATATACTAATATGTACACTTTATTTAATTAAAGTAATTTCCTGATTTTAGGGCATTTTTTTGCTTTGAAATTAATTAAAAAATGTCTGTAATAAAATCTAATCAATTTTATTATAAGAATTTACCTGTTATTTTTGAATAATTTCAAAAAGAGAAAATATTAATTAAATGCAACGTGATATTATTATAAGAATTTAGCTGTTATTTTTGAATAATTTCAGAAAGAGAAAATAATTAAATCCAACGTGATTAAAATGAGCATTTTCAGATTAGCCAGGGTCACACAAGTCGCCGAGGACCAGCTGCCCTCGCCGGGGACACGAGTGATGAGCGCCCGTCATGACCTGGAGGTAGACATGTCAGCAATTTTCAAAGGACATTTATAAATACGCACAATCTTTAGAAATAAACAGCGGATTTGAGTTTTAAACAACTACATTCTCGCGTGAACAACCGTTAAAACTTTATTTCATGGTACGTATTTGATTATTGTATTGGTTCTGTTCAGTGTGAGATTGAATCGGATTGAACCGTCTTTGTATTGAACTGTTTGTTGGGAGATCGGAAATCTTTTTATCGCACGTGTTCAAAAGCTTATAGTCATCAACATGTAATTAGTGTATAGTGTAAATGCGTGTGGCTGAGTTATAGCGAAATGCTAATCAATCGTGTTGGTAATTACACAAAAATGCAATTGGTTTCGGGTGGGATCCGACTCTTACAAATCACTTAAGTGAGCCGATTCCTAGAACCGAACCGAGTCACTCGACTCAAACAACGCCTACTCGCTTCAACGCGGAGATGTCGTGGTCTCATCCAAACGGATTTATCGGTAAGTGTTGAAATGTCCAACTTTGTTAATTAAATAATTGTTATATATTTCTGTATAGCATGTAATTCACCAAGTAACTTTAGCTTATTTTGTCTATTTATAAACGAAGTTACCAAATCACTTTATTGTCACATCATCGGCAGTAGACAGCGCTTAAAGTCCAGCATCTTCACGTAGTAACTGTCTTGACTAGTGCCGTTGGGCGACATTGGTCCTGGGAGCACTGTACCAATGTGGCGGCGCTATTGACGCATGCTCAGGGTCTGTATGCGATATCTAGGGTTTATATCTATGAAAGCCTAGTAGGTGGCACAAATGGAGACAAACTATATTACTTATAATGGGAGAACAATAGATGTAGAGCATTTTGTAGCATCCCTAATTTGTTTTCATACCTAAACGGACGATAAAGTACACGCAAATGTTGTCACTCTATATGTTGATTGCTTGTGACCATTTTTAGCATATAGAAGTATATAGAATAAGTGTATTCTATATACTTCTATATGCTAAAATTGGTCAGATAGTAATCGGCCCGAGCTCGAGATATAAGGGTTTTGTTGAGGAAAAGGATAAAGTTAAACATTTGTCTTTAATTCAACAGATAACGTGAAGCTTTATGACAAAACAATGACAATAACAAGTCAAAGCCCTTGGTAGATGAGGAAATTTCCTGCCATCAGCCCAGTTTGCTTAAATAAATGCTGTGGTGTCTTTAAGAATGTACGTTAAGCATTGAAAAGATCTACTTAAACAATTGACGCAGTTTTTAAACCAGATCTGTAAAAAGTCACACCCCTCAATGTGTGATGTCCTCTAATTAAAGGCTTCATTAAAATAGTGTGTACTTATGAATAATAAGATCGATGAGGGTTTTTGAGGAATAGTATAGTCCGCTAGCTTGTTCATGGAGACAATATTATGGCTTCTGTCCTGTAGGGGTCTTTGTAGCCGAAATAGCTCAGTTGGGAGAGCGTTAGACTGAAGATCTAAAGGTCCCTGGTTCGATCCCGGGTTTCGGCATTTTGGCTACGTTCGCATCTTAAGGCTTTAGTGCTTAAATCAGATTTTTTTCTCACATCTGATTTAAAAAAAAATTTTGCATGACATGACTGTTCACAGTCACACTGCTCTTATAAATGTGGCCAATATCAGATTTGCAGTGTGAACAGATCATGGTCCTAAACTGATCCGCTTGCGCAGAAGTACAGATACAGAGTGCACAAAATGTCTAATTATGCACACATAATAACGTTACTGTATGAAGTAAACACGTTGTCGGACCATGCTTATATGATCATTGCCCCTTTCAGACAACCATGGTGTATTTCATGAACTGTAAAGTTTTGTTCTGCTACTACTAATTTGTATTTCGGCATTTGAAATCTAAAATAAGTCACTTGTGATGGAAAACACTGATCACTTGTGATTTATAACAACCGCGGTGCGGGTATTGACCACCGGTGTAGCTGAACTCATCAAGGGTTCATGAGCAACCGCTGACAACTGTGAAGGTGGAGTTGGTTTATCTCTGTTTGCAGTTATTTCATTTTACTTCGGTATAAACAACAAGACACGTACAGAAGGGGTGCTCGAGCACCTGCCTTTTTTTTCTCTCTGAGAAAGTTCTCCCTCCTTTGCACACGGATCCCCTATCCGCAACACGAACGACGCTCTTCGCGATCAACCCGTGCCCCAATCGTTTACAAGCACCTCCAAAATCTTTTTCAATATGAACAACCAACTTCTTGGTGGTAAAGTAATCGGCCTGTGTGCCATTCTACTGTGCAGCTGAGGAGTCGATGATGTTTGCAGCACAGATTGAGGGCGCATGTAGCTCGAAGAGTATGTAAAAGTCACATGAAATCCGATATTACTGTACTTACACACTGAGGTCGCATCGCAAAACATCAGAGCTGTCTGATTTAGGATTATATATGTAAGTGGCACAGATCTGAGCTGAAAAGATCAGATTCCATGTGGTTTGGGCTGTTCACACTATCATTACCTGAGTCACATGTGGGCAAAAAAATCAGATTTGGGCCACATTTGGCTGCAGTGTGAATGTAGCCTTTGACACCAAACGCTTGCACATGAATTCTTTACTTTTATGATTTGTATTATTTTATTATCTTAACTTTTTGTTTATAACCGCAAATATGTCAATGTTATCATGATTTTATATATATATATATATATATATATATATATATATATATATATATATATATATATATATATATATATATATAATGCATATAAAATAGACATGTAAATATGTAGGACTATGTGCTAAAATACACATTATTTAGTGGTGTTTTTCATGCAAATACACATTTAAAATTTGATAGCATTTTCCAAATGGAAACACACTCTGCTATCTATGTATATGCACCAGACAGTTTCATATTAGGAATTTTGGTTATAATTAATTTAGTCACATTAACTACTATGTACTTACATCAAAATAAGCATAATGTACTTATTTTGTTCATCATAAATGTTTTAAATGATCCCACACTAAGCAATACTAATTACCACTCCTTGTATTGTAATAAATATTTGTATGTTTTTAAATGGTGATGTAAATGTATAATTATGATTGCATTATGTTTTATTGTATTTTGTGATTTGTTATGTTTTGGGATATGGACCTAAGAGTATGAAATAAAAGGAATAATAACATTGTAATGTATAAGACTTAAGGGGCTATTAAGATGTGATACAGGTAGAATTTGGGTCAGGTTTAGTAATATAGAGAGGTTTAAGGGTGAGTTAAGGTGTAAGTGATGGGTCAATTACAAATGTAAATACAGAAATTAAATAAAGATGTAACTATTTGCAAATAATTTAAAAGTATAATCAAAACGCATGTACATGTAATAAGTGCAAAGTACCAATTGATTAATTTAAATGTAGCCACATAGTTAATGTGACTTAATAAAGTGTTACTAGAATTTCTTATAAAATCTAACAAAATAACACAAACGTTTACTTGTGAATGCGCCACAAATCTTTTTGCACTACTTTGAAAATCGAATGTATATTTATTTAAATGCTCGACAGCTGTACTACTCACATTTTATCTTTTTCTAGTTTTGGCCTTTTCTAAAGCTGCTTTGGAACAATAATCATTGTGAAAAATTCTATAAACTTGAATTCAATTAAGAGAACAGTCAGACAACATTGATATAAAAGGATGGAGAATTATTTAAGAACATTTCAGACATAAACAGCATACATATTCATTTGCAATGAAAAACAACAACAAGAAAGGCACCAGAGAGTAGAGAACTGATATAGTGCACAGAGGCATACAAAACAGGTAAATATGAAGCAACCCTGCTGGAGTACTATCCACCTAAATGTTCATGTTAGAGCATGTAAGATTGATTTCTAGCTGTACAAAACAGAAACCGGCTTGCTGTGCAGCTTGACTAGTATTTTCTTATATATTTTATTTATATATATGTTTCTTATATTATTTAAAATTCTACAGATAAACACACTGGTTTGTAGTGCATTCAGTTTCACTGTTTACTTAGTAATTTCCCCACAGCTGCAAATGAATTGGAACTCTTATACATTCACTTCTGCATTGCAAAATAATGTGGATTCAGCACATTTAATTAAAATTCATATCTGTAATATGACCCACTTTAGCCTTTTTCATTTTCGTCCACCAGCACACCATAATATAAATTGACATTAGGATTTTCACACACAAGTATTGTTCACAGTATTTCTGCTCTAGCTTCTTTTAGACTTCTCTTTCAGTGTCGATTTATCAAACATGGACTGACAGGAAGACAGCTGAAGCCATGAGTCCACGATAAGAATGAAAGGGATGACGATCCACAAAACGTTCATGAACACAAAGTAGAACCAGAAGTAGATGGGATGACCATATTCGCTGTGAATATATCCATCTCTGTGCTCAGTGAAGAAGTAGAGGACTGCACCGTACAGCTGACCTGTAAGTAATGTTGGACGTTAGACTGAATTTGTGCACTTGAACACTGGCTGCATCTGAAAATGCATACTTACCTACTGAATAGTGTGCAAAAACACAGCATGTGATATAAGATTATTTTTGAAGGCAGCAGGGAAGGATTTGATTTGTGAATGACAGTGATGTAACTTACAGTATGTCGTATGATAAATACAACAGCAAATGAAGTACTCCTGTGTTACATTCCTAATATACACATTCCAATAAGATTATATTGTCACCCTTATGTAACATATATTTTTAGTGGTTGTGGAGTAATGACTTCAAAACCAGTGCCTTCTTGATAGTACTCAGTTTCGGAAGCAACCCCTTATGATGAGGTATGATGTGGAAAAGTCACTGTAGATAAAATATGTATTATGCAATAGATATCTTACCCAATGATACGATGAGCTGCAGCACAAATCTGTAGGGGCGATTATACAGAAAGGCCAGAACAGTCCATACGCTGAAGGGACCCCACATGTATGCGGTTACTGTCTCCATGCTGACGGTGAAATTATCCGCTCTAGAGAAGAAAAATACAATTGAGGTATAATACAATGCATAGATGCAGTACTTAAACATGTAAGCTTGTGTTTTACTTACATCGCATATCTGCTGTCTCCTTTGGAATATTCTTTCCCTGAAGAAAAAAAAAATTGGTATTCAGATATATGAAAATTGGTGTGTTCGATGGGCTATATGCACAGCTAGTGTGTTTTTTTTTTTAGCCAATGATGAACTTCTGGTGAATAGTTTATGTGACTGTTTCAATTTCATAAGGTTTCTTTTACAGCATCGATGTTATATTTTAATTTAAGGGCCATGAACCCCCCCGTTTCAGCAGGGTGTTTTCACACCTCTAGTTTGGCAAAAAGTCAGGAAAGTGGGTGTGTCTAGCTCTGTTTGGTTGGGAGTGTCGGGGGAGGGAAAAGGGGAAGGATTTAAATAAAAATGTGAGTTTCCATTTGGGCACACCCTGATTTTCACTGAGGAAAAACAAACACGCACGCAGGGGAGACAGACAGTGACTGTCTAACGGCAGTGGAATGTTTGATACCGCACATCGTATAAGAGAAAAAAAAAACTCTGCCTTTCTCGGTAACTGTGATGCACTCGGTAGGTCAGAAAGCCGTGTGTGTGTGTAGACTATCCTGTCACAAAATGCGGCGAAAATTAAACACGGCGGTCGGTAATAGTTTGCTTGCAGTGTTTACGTTTACACTCTGAGAGCAGCATTTACAGCAGATCTTTCAGTCCATAATATTGTAGTAGAGCTGCGTCTTTTTTTAAAGGAGATGAGCAGCAAATCCGGATTTCACAATTTCCAGATGCGAAAAGCTCTAGAGTAAGAAAAAGTTCTGTCCAAACGCATTTCTGCTGCGTGCACTGATCCACACATGAGTCCAGTTGTGCTCTCATAGCTGGAAAATGAAAACAAAACCTTTGTTGCAGCACACTATAAAAGCAACACTGGCGACCCGAATCTCTAAACAATTCATATTCATTTCCCACTTCTTGTGGCAACTCAATGTGTCGTCTCTCTGCCGTCTGAACACTGTTTCAGGTACAAACAGTCTTCGAAGCTAGCATATTAATGAAGTTGCACGCATACAAAATACAGCGCTGATTGGTTTGAACCAAGTCTTACACATGAATGAATGCAGCACACTCAGAGATGTAATATGGTACTCCCAGGTACAGACGTCCAGTCTACATGCTGAAATACACGATAAGATCTCATGGCTGTGACGCAGCTTCAAAAATTAGTTTTAAACTGGAAGTATGAATTTGCTCGAAATAATGCAAAAACAACCAATTTTCACTTTTTAGTACTTTATATCATATCTCAGCCAGGCAGTGTAGATCACCGTGTTTTTTTAAAGCAATCAGATCTTAAACATGATGATTTTGTAGGGAATGACAATTCACCAGAAGCCTTGGGGCTGGCTGACTGAAATTAATAGTCCATGTGCATATACCCCATTGACAATGGAAAGAGCTTTGCTTTAAAAGTTGAATGCATATGAATGGCATCTAAATGTAATAACTATGAGGAACTAGAATTCAGAAAGTCGTGTTATCTTTGGGATTTTTACAGAAAAAAAATATTGTTCATCTAAAAAGTCAAAATGTCAAAGGGTTCAGTTGTTAATTACTCACACTTTTGTCATTCCAATTCTGAGATCCTTCATCTTTGAAACACAAATTATGTTTTAAGTAGAGATGTTCTGATCAGGATTTTTGCAGCCAATACCGGGTACTGATTCTGATGCTTCAAGCTTTATAATGCATTAAGCACACTTTCCCTCTAAGTATGAGACTGAAGTGGAGATCCCTCCTTAGCCAAGATAATAAATTAAGGATGTTGCATATAATCCCTTAAACACGTCTCTTATGGCCATTTAGATGTGAACATGTCATGGTCATAAGCAGATTTACAGAAAATAATAGATAAAACATAAAAGAATTGGTAAGAAAAATTACAATTTGGAAACAATGTAAAATGATGGAGGAAGAATTCAACAGGTCTCAATGAAGAAAAGGTTTGGAGCGCATATTTGATGCATAAGAAGTTAATGCTCACAAATAACTCCACTACTTCTTTACTAAAAGGAAATAAGCATATGCACCACTGTTCATTGCAGCAAGTATATTTTTTAATTGTACAAATGACATTAAAATACCATCATCAAAACAATGCTCTAAATGTGTAATTCTTTTATCTGCCCAAATTTTTACATTTTTGTTTTTATAGCACATTGGAAGCAATCTGTCCCCCCATAAAGGTGTTTTGGGAGAGAGAAATGCCTCTTGTCCCAGCATCAACTGAACTTTGTTCCAGATTTGAACTGAGTGGATAATCATAGGGTTATTGGTTCTAGTTTTTATCAATTTTTCATCCTATGCATATAGTATATTAGTGTCCTCTTTCATCTCAAATGTCTCCATATTAAGCCATGACGGGTAAGGAGACATTCAAAGTCTATAAAAAAAAAGATAAATATTGTCAAAACATTCCATGTGACTTCGAAATCAAACAGTTCAGCTGTAATCATACAAAACCCCAAGAACACTTTTGTGTGCCAAAAAAACTGTAAAAACAACTTCAGATCAGGGTGTGCGTTTACAATAGGTAATCTATATAGTAGGTATTTAACTAGCATCCTGGCGACCTGATGAAGAGATAACACAAGCCAACAGTCATTTTCATGGTTTTTTGACATACAAAAGTTTTCTTGGAGCTTCATATGATTACAGTTAAACTACTGAAGTCATGAAATTTATGAGGGAGCTCACCGATTTAATCTAAAACATCCTCATTTGTGTTCTAAAGATAAATGACGGTCTCTGGATTTTGGAATGACATGAAGGTGAATAATTACTAGCAGAAATTTCATTTTTGGGAGACCTAACACAGTTTTGTTAGGACTTTTTAAATTTACAGCACATACAAAAAATTATTTTGTAGGAGCACAAAATATTGTTTTTGCTGAAAAGTGCACAGGAGAATCTCCATCTTGTGCCAAAAAATTGACCTGAATGCACCAGACTTCATTGCAAAATTCCAGAATTTCTCTGGAGGACTTGTCGAGTGCATAGTGTTTACATTTTGTGTACTATGCATTATAACATTCATTAATTTTCTTTTCGGCTTAGTCCCTTATTAGTCAGGGGTCGCCACAACGTAATGAACTGCCAACTTATCCAGCATATGTTTTATGCAGCGAATGCCCTTCCGGCTGCAACCCAGCACTGGGAAACACATTATAACATTTATAACAGAAAAAGATTCAAGCTGGACATTAAGGGGAAAGTGTCTAACTACTATCTCGAATCACACTAAAGATAAACCGAATCAGACTTTGAACCCCACTTACACAGCTGAGAAAGGAAACTCTGGTCTTCAGGAATGATAGCGTAGTATAAGGAGAACCATCCCTCAATGACCCCATGGATGAAGCCGCACACAGTGAACCAGCACAGAGCTAACCTTCTTGCTGCACTGAGCCTGCTTCCAGACACCTTACAGCCAGTCAGGGACCAGGTGGCAAACAGCAGAATCCCGGACACAGAGAAGAGAAACACGAGGATCTCTGACATCGAGCGGTCATTGGCCACATAGTTGGGAATGGACAGGTTGCGTGGCCAATACGGATGATTTACAGCTTCTGCCTCCATTGGCATCTGTTGTATGAAAGAAAGCACGTTAATGATACAACAAATAGCTGTTAATTTAAAGTTATGATGCACCAGATGACGTGAAAGTAACATGCTATTGACTTAATACGCATGTACGTACCTTTTGATAATTAGTGAAATATAATTATTCCCTTATATCGATGAATGGTCTTGTAAGGTGCATGCAGCTGTCCTGCTGGAGCTGGATATCGCAACACTGAGCAAAGTTAACATCTGCTCTGTGAATTAGCGTTATGAAATAGTAGAAACATCGCGCCACCGAGTCACATCAAACTGTAAGCTCACGTGACGCGCGCTAGCCAATCACTGTTTGTGTCATAGGGAGGAACAGCACCTCGTGAAGTTTACTCGGCTCGCGATTGGACGATCTGCTCGGAACACATTCATGTCGTCATATGTGATTGCGAAGTGCGCATATGCTCGTAAAATATATTCGTTAAATAAATGTGTTGTCACTAAAACCAGTTTCTTTAGCATGACTGAGGTACAACGAAATCAAACAGTATTCTAAGAAAGGAAAAAGTCACACTCCTGTGCCGTGATAGGGACTCATCCCTGCCGTGACCCGGATTCGAACCGGGGTTGCTGCGGCCACAACGCAGAGTACTAACCACTATACGATCACGGCGAGCTACCGGAGGTGGTGATAGTGGCTGGCAGAATTTAGCTTTCATACTTCCCTACACCATAGCTGTCCGCCAGTTTACTTGTGTTATATTTATACAAACTGTATTTTGGTAACAAATAATATGGCAGCTTTTGTACTTTGCTATTAATGTGAAGTAAAAATTGATGATTTATTATTATTAAAGGTGAAAAATGAAAGTCATTTAAATTACTATGTTTAAGCTTTAATATAAACTTTTTACGTGTGTTGCGCTGCTACGATATGAAAAGAAGTGCCGAAAATTAGGATAACCATTAAAAAACATTTATATTTGGCTGGACGGAAGATGTAGTCGTTTATATACTGTGCTCTCGAAACATGCGTATACCTCCCATATGGTCTAGCGGTTAGGATTCCTGGTTTTCACCCAGGCGGCCCGGGTTCGACTCCCGGTATGGGAAGCAATATTTTAGCTTTTTTTACATTTGCTAGATATGTGTAATGTTGCAGACCGTTATCATTTTAAATGTATACATGTATGTATAAATGTAAATGTATGTTTAAATATTAAATTAAATTATTTTTAATTGTGATTTGTAAAATTTGAATGTTTTTTCGGTTTATTTTTATAAATATAAGTTTTATGAGTATACAATTATATAATATAATTACACATATTATAAATTCTTTTAATATTTCTATATAGCTTTATTTAGTTAGTTTTAGTCTTTATTTATATATGTGTAGGTCTATATTTTTAATATAATATAGTTTTTTAAATTTTTTGTAATTTTATCATTAAATAACATAGCTAACTTTTTAAAATATATATATTTAATTTTTTTTACATTTAATTTTTATTTTGTATAATACATTTTTTTAGTTGTCACTTTTAACAGGTAATATTTCATCTAGTACTTATATTTTAATGATAGTTTTTATTTCTGTCAGTAACATGGATAACGCCTCCATAACTGTGAGATGTCAAAATTTTTCTCACAGTATACTGGACCAGCTGATTTGAATGTTATCAATTGAATGGGCGTTATCAGTGGTTATCAGCTAATAGATATGGGCTATTAGGTGACTTCTGCACCTACTGGTAGGCTCAGAAGGCTGTTATCATCCATCCACATGGTTAATCTGCTATAGATCACAAACGGCTGCAGCCGGAAGTTAACAAGAATGATTTATATTACTTATTAAATTTCCCATTAATTATATTTCATTAATGCCTACCCCTACCTTAACCGTCACAGTAATGTAAAAACAGATCTGGAGTCTTCTCTATTAGTATAGCTGATTAACAATGTGAATGGATGATAACCGCGTTCTGAGTGACATTTACTGCGCAGAAGGCCCATTTCTATCAGCTGATAACCACTGATAAAGCTGATTAAAGCAGCTGACAGGACATGGTCAAACGACATTATTGGACCACACTAACCAGCCAAATGTGGGTCCCAAATGTGACATGGCACTAGACTTTTAGGTATTTTAGAGATGTGTAATAAATGAATGTATGATGTGGTTTTATGTGTCTTTGGCAGCGAGAAGAGGCTGAATCCAAAGCCTAAGAGGAAGCAGAGAAACAGAGGATCAAACAAGAGAAACACTTCCAGAAGGAGGAGCTGGAACGCTTGGAAAGAAAGAAGGTAAAATAAAAGTCCACCAATCAAGCTAAACACAGCATCACGCTCGCTCATTCACACACACACATACGCGTGCTCGCTCGCTCGGGAGCGATATTGTTAGACCGCCCGCTCCCGTTCAAATTACACCAGTTACCGACCACTCCCATGCTTTATTCGGAAATGTATTCTTACGCCTTAAGAAATCTGGTACAGCCGCGGGAATGCAGACCTCTAATCTGTGGTGGCTCAGTGGTTAGCACTGTCGCCTCAAAGAAAGAAGGTCGCTGGTTTGAGTCCCGGCTGGGTCAGTTGGTCATTTCTGTGTGGAGTTTGCATGTTCTTAGTGTGTGTGAATGAGTGTCTTATGGATGTTTCCCAGTACTGCTTTGCAGCTGGAAGGGCATTCGCTGTGTAAAACATATGCTGGATAAGTTGGTGGTTCATTCTGCTGTGGTGACCCCTGATAAATAAATGGACTAAACTGAAGGAAAATGAATGAATGAATTTGAAAAAATTGTTAAATATAGCACTTGGGAAATATTTTTAAACGATTTCAATTTCACAAGAGGGCTCAAAATTTTGTCTTCAATTGTATTTGAGATTTTAGTTCAGTACTGTCGGTTTAACGTTTGTGTTTATATTTTTAGCGTCTGGAAGAAATCATGAAGAGGACTCATAAGAGTGATGCAGGAGCACAGGTGAGGGAGAAAACTCCAACTCAAGTGAATGGCAGAGTCACTGACAGCAGTAAGAAATACATGTATAGAACTGAGAATTTATAAAAATCACTCTTTCTTTTATTTAAATCATGTAAGTAGAGTTCAATAAAAGAAATACAATGTTGTTTTTCTCTCGTATTGCAGTAATACAGAAAAATCTGTCAGAAGCTCTTCATAGTGGTGTGACAAACCAATCACCAATGAGGTAATCGAGACGCTGCATGAATTGAAATTGAAATGAAGCTGCATGAAATATTGTTTGCTTATTTTCCCGCATGTGTGTTTTCCTCAGCTCTGTGTCCTGGGATACAGCACCAGTCAGCACCAGCTCCGCCCACTAAGCATCATAATGGACTGTCCTCCAATGGAGACGCAGCAGACTTTGAGGAGATAATCAAGCTGTCCAATCACAGTGGGAACAGTGGAATCATGGCCTTCGAGGTAGGAGAACCGTTTATGATGAAGGCGGGGCCTATGAAGCCTCAACATGTGGCAGGTAGAATCAAGATTTTGTTAGATTACAAACAGTTGAAACCAGAAGTTTACATACACTGTATAAAAAGGCACATCACCAAAAAAGTCAGATGTTAATGAGACTAAACTTATTTTTTTAGGTAAGTTAGGATTTTCAAATGTGTTTCTGTTCTGTTTAATAGCAGAATAATGAGAGATATTTGTTGAGAAATTGTTATAACTTTTCTTGAAAGTCAAGTTTACATACAATCAGATTATTATGTCTCTGAAAAAGCTCAGATGACGGTGTCTAGGTTTTGGAAGTTTCTGATTGGCTAATTGATAACATTTGAGTTAATAAGAGGCACAAAAAGACTTTTGGAGACATGTCCTGTGGTCTGATGGAACTAAGTCTGAACTGTTTGGCCATAATGACCAGTGTTACATTTGGAGAACAAAGGGGAAAGCTTACAAGCCTAGGAACACCAACTGTGAAGTATTGGGGCTGCAGCATCATGTTGTGAGGCTGTTTTGCTGCAGAAGGAACTGGTCCACTTCATAGCATAGTTGGCATCATGAAGAAAGAACATTATGAAAAAATACTGAAGCAATATCTCAAGTCATCAGCCAGGAAATAAAAACTTGGCCACAAATGGGTCTTCCAAACAGACCATGACCCTAAGCATACTACCAAATTAGTTAAAATGTGCTTTAAGGACAACAGAGTGAATATTTTGGAGTGGCCATCACAAAGCCCTGATGTCAATCCTATAGAAAATTTGTGGGCAGAGTTGAAAAAGCTTGTGCGAGCAAGACAGCCTACAAATCTGACTCAGTTACACCAATTCTGTCTGGAGGAATGGGCCTAAATTCCTTCAAACTATTGTGAGAAGCTTGTGGAAGGATACCCAAAACATTTGACCAAAGTCAATACAGTTATACAGTTATACATATAAGTATATATAAGATATATAAGTTATACAGTTTAAAAGCAAAGCAAAAAAATACCAAGGAAATGTGTGTAAACTGTTGACTGTCTAGAAATTAATAAAAAATTCTCCAAAAGAAATCTCTCATTATTCTGGCATTTAGCAAATGTAAATCATTTAGGTAATCCTAACAGACCTAAAATAGTAAACATTTAGTATGATTTACCATCAGATATTTTTTAAAGGGTTATGTTTTTTGTTTTTTTTTAAGTGTATGTAAACTTCTGGTTTTAACCTTATGTTAGATCATATATGGATCAAATCTTGTCATCAGTGGAGTTGCTTTTCAGTGTTTCGTCTTTCAGCAGTGACATTTACATTACACTGAACTGAACTAAACTGAACCTAAAATAAAATGTTGAAAATAATGTATAAAGGATGATTAAGAGAGTCTCCAAGCTGTTTTCCATGCATGAAGCTGATGATATCTGCAGTTTGACTTTGGGACAGTGTGAATGACTGAAAAAAAGCAGCCTTGGCATTCTGCAAAGCGTCTCTATTTTCAGTTTCATAATACCAGCCATGGATGTTGTTGGCAAGCTTTTAATAGTTCAATACAGCCACAGCCATGTCACCCTGCACCCCAAGACCGGTTACTCACTGAAGCTAAGCAGGGCTGAGCCTGGTCAGTACCTGGAAGGGAGACCACTAGGGAACACTAGGTTGCTGTTGGAAGTGGTGTTAGTGAGGCCAGCAGGGCCTGCTCAACCTGTGGTCTGTGTGAGTCCTAATGCCCCAGTAAAAGTGAAAGGGATGCTAGACTGTCAGTGGGCGCCGTCTTTCGGATGAGATGTTAAACCGAGGTCCTGACTCTCTGTGGTCATTAAAAATCCCATGGCACTTCTCGTGAAAGAGCAGGGGTGTAACCCCGGTGTCCTGGCCAAAGTCCCTCTATTGGCCCTTACGATCATGGCCTCCCAATCATCGCCTTTGGCTTGATCACTGTCTCTCCACTCCACCAATAGCTGGTGTGTGGTAAGCGCACTGGCGCCGTTGTCCTGTGGCAGCCGTCGCATCATCCAAGTGGATGCTGCACACTGGTGGTGGTGTGGAGAGACCCCCCTCATGATTGTAAAGTGCTTTGGGTGTATGGCCATACACAATAAATGCGCTTTATAAATACACATTACATTACATTACAATAAATCATCTTCCCATGTGTGTTTCTGCTGTTTTCCTGCAGAGGTGCTGTGAGAGATGAGATATCAGAGTCTTCTGGACATAATGAGAAGAAGAGAAGCCTTGCTCTACCACTGCTTCCACCCTGACGTGTGCCAAACCAACAAAAACAGACTGCTTTAACTTTAGAAACACTGCCGAGCCGGATGCGCTCTGGAGAAAGTGCCAGAAGACGACCTTAAAGAGACACTTATATACAACGTTTGCAAAAAGTCTCCGTCTATTTCAGTGTGTGTGTCATGGTGCAGCATTTGTTGAGTTTCTTTAACAAGTCACCTGGGGCCTCATGTATCAATGCTGCGTACGCACAAAAACTTTGCGTACGCCAGATTTCACGCTCAGAATCGCTCACGTTTGGATTTACTAACAATGAACTGAACGTGGGAATGTGCGCAGGTTCACGGCAGCTTTCTGGCTGGCGTACGCACATTTTTGTGCGTGTCTGTTTTATTTCCATTGGCGACTCCTAGAGGCAGTTGTGTTAAATTCCTCTCTACAAAGTGTCTGAGCCTTGCAATGGCAGCTGTATGAGACGGGTTCATCTAGCAGGTAAATAAGGTTTCCATACCATACATTTGACCAGCTAAACATTAAAGCACAATTTGCAGTGGTCGCCTGTTTTCCCAATGTAATCTGAGCTATCTACTGCACGCACATTGCTATAAAGACACTATCTGAAGATGAATTTGCATGCGTGAATCAGAAACATTTCCATTCAATAAATGTGCAAATAAAATATGATGCTTATTGATATGAACTTATTGATGATTGCTACTTGTCTTTCTCGTGATAAATAGTGGGCAAAATCTGATATGTAGCGGGAAATAAAGAAGAAAGAGTTCATCAGACGCTAGATTTGAGCCGAGTTTATGCTCGAACGTGTCAATACATGATCACGTGCATCTTACGAGGTGCGCCACTAAGACTGCTAAGGGTTCTGCAACATTTTACAGATATAAACCACACTATTTCTATTTATAATGCATTCAGTGCGATGTTCAGACCCAACTGTGTTAACCGCATCAGCTAAACTCTCCCACTCTATTTTTTTTCTTTTGTTGTTAATTCCGGAGAACAAACTTGCAAAACATCGGTCTGCAAAACACCGGTCTCCGGTCTGCCTCCGAAAGCAGCACCTCCATTTCACATTCTGTTCAAAGTTTCTCTTTTTGCTTGATTTTGCCATTGCTTTTTCGTTGGGTTTTCCATTAGCATAGTCATTAGCATATTCATACGGGGGAGGAGGCAGGGAGGGGTTTTGTGCTCGTGCATGTTGCGCTCAGTTTCACGTTCATTCAGATGTACAAAAGAATATGCGTGAGATTCAGCGTACGCAGTGTTTCATACATCTGAATTTTTTTCTGCGTACGCACATTTACAGCTTTGTGCGTACGCAATGTTTTAGTAAGATTTCCACGCAAGTCTTCGTACATGAGGCCCCTGGCGATTATGTGGTGCACCTTAAAAGAGTTGCTATATATTGAATTTTAGAAAAGACAACTTGGTTTATCTTTATGATATGAATTATTGTTGTTGCTCTTGTTATGATGTATTATTATCGTTCTTTTAAGTAGAGAAAAAAAGCAAACGTGTGTCTTGTGCTATTGCGTTATTTACGTGTGGCGCATCACAAGAGGCTGATATTCTGTATGTTAATGTATATTTGCCTGATTATGACAGACCAGTGGAATAAATCTTTATGAAAGGGACTGTTTGTCAGTGAGTGGAGTGTTTGCTGTAGTATAAACTAATCAAAATAATGTGATCTTCATTTTAGTCTGGCTATATCATGATGGTAGAACAGTGCTTTATAATAACAATAATAATTCATTACATTTCTATAGCGCTTTTCTTGGCACTCAAAGCGCTTTACACATAGGGGAAATCTTCTCATCTACTTTTTCTTTTAATGCAAGAAATATGAACAAAGAGACAAAGAGGGTTACATAAATAGAATTTCAGCAAATTAAACAAGTTTAAATGATTTACACTAAGTGTTTTAAATGCAGTGTAATTGTTAGAGTCTTTTAAAGAGTCCTTTCTGAAAATAAAAAAGTAAGAGTGTTTCTATGAAAATTTACATTTATGGATGTAAAATTTTGTTTAAAAAAAGCAATAAATCAATAATAAATGTAAAATGAGAAGGATCTACACTCAGAGAGTAACCAAAGAATACAATTTTTGGGGAAATACAGAAGTTTGGAAATAAGAATTTTTTTATGAAATTGGAAAAGTCAACCCAAAACACTTTACAGTAAGTACACTCCTAAAACAAAATGGTTTAAGATTTTATCATATTGAGTACAAAATAAGCATTTAGGGGAAATAGTGTTATTAAATTTAGCTAGTTTGGTATTTATTGGGTAGCAATCTCCTCATCTACTACCAGTGTAGCATCCACCTGGATGAAGCAACAGCAGCCATTTTCCACCAGACCGCACACCACAGAGAGAGAAGACAGAGTAATGAAGCCAATTATGATATGGGAAGGGTTAGGAGGCCATGATAAACCCGTAGTCTTTTTCGAAAGACATTCTGGAATTTTAGGGTATATGCTGAAGCATGCTAATAGGACTTTTAATTTGCCAGTAACCTGGGTTAAGTGCTTCCGGCTAACTGTATGCCAAAGGAAAAAATCTGCACGTTTTTAATGTCTGTTTTCTTTAAAAATAAGCGATCTCCACTGGCTGAGTTATATCCGATATGAAGTGTTTGTCTTGCAGAGTGTGCAGTGTCTGTCTGTGTAGTTTCTGTGTGGCCCAGATATAGAGATGCTGCTCAGTCTTTGTCATATGCAGCTTGGCTGGCAATGAAAAAGTTAGAAATGTATATACAGCAAAAATATAACACATAGAAGGAATAAGTAAAAAATAAATGTACTATAATGCTACATGCTTATGAAAAATATGACATATTTGAGCATAAGAAACCTGAATTGAATTTTGAACTTTTAAGCATTAACTTTGTCAACCAATACATTTATATTTTTTCTACAGTGGAAAAGAACTTGGTTTTTTAACTGCAGTTTCATGAAGTTACAGTCTGGAGATTTAAAACATTTAAGGGAATGATTTCAACAATAAAACTATATTGGTTTTCAGAAAAAGGACAGTAGAAAATGTACTTTTTGTCAGGGAGTGAGTACATCAGCAAATCTAAGTTGTAAAAAAGAATTTTACAATATTTTTCCAATCAAATACTTTACAATCTTAAATCCATAAGCACTAAGTTGATTCATGAAGATTTAAATGTAGTTCTACCCCCAAAACTAAAGTGTTACATTAAATTAATAAAATTATTTGAAGCTCAAGCAATGACAGTTGTAGAGTTACTTAAATATTTTTTCGTACTTACCTTTGTGAAAATGTTGAGAGCATAATTGGAGAAATGAAGATATATTTTGCATCTCAATGCAGCTGGCCAGAACACCCGATGCGTCTGTTACTGCTACAGTCTGTCAATACACTTTCTTCCGAGCGGGAAATTTAAAATATCTGTTGTCGTGATCATTTATTACCTTTTCGATCGTGTGATTTACTACTACAGCCCTTAACACAACAAGAATGTAACACTGTATTTACTCTGCGAAAGACGCTAAAGCCACATAACAGCTCACGTTAACTCGGATACAACATAAATGGCGGCTATGTCCCATAATGCAATTCGTTGTTTACAACGGTGAAGTCACCGAAAGTTTATAAGTATATGGGAACAACACTAGCTCGGCATATACCCAATTATATTCATCTGTCTCCATATTCTACTGCATCCCAGAATATTACACTGCACCAAAAATGTAATAAAAAAATATATATATATTTAATATATTTTTGTGTACGGCAGACGGCAATTCGCCGTGACACAGATTCCCGAGTCTGTGTGCTCCAATCAGGTGAGCCCTTGTCAGCGCTCGCCATGACAACGAGACAGCAGTGACGTGCCTTGTAAAAATTTGCATCTGGATTCCTATAAAGCTCGTGTGCTCTCTATCAGCGTTGTCAGTTCGCTCAGTGTTGCTGTTTGTACTTGACCAAGGTGAATTCAATACCGACGGTATGAGTGGAGCCACGCCAATCTCACGAAATCCGCTTCGTGAAGCTTCACTCGGGCCCGTCTGTGCTGTAGTTTCTTGCGGTTTGCGTACATAAATGCAATATCGCGAGGAACATTACGTGTTTGTTGCTCGAAATGTGCCGCAGAGCAACATTCAGTGAATACTGGCACGGCCTGGAGCCCGGTCTTCTTGTGCACTCCCTGGGGCGAGGTGGCCTTTGAGCCCTAGGCAGGGAACAAACAACCCCCGAGGACCCTCAGGGAAACATGGGGGCATGGGCATGGTAGTGGGGGGAAAAGTGGACCTGACTACCCAGGGCCCCGTCTAGGGAGAGGGCCCTTTGAAATTCCACCAATTTTTTATTATTATTATTTTTTTGTAGCCTACCTTGAATTAATTGGCCCCTCCAATTGATGTCAATGTCATTATATATTTCAAAATGGTTTAGTCCATAGTAAATGTGAAAGAAGTTAATGTGCCTTTTAAAAATCTAAACAATTAAGTAATACTAATATAAGAAATTATATACTTGATTTATCCCTTTTAATGGTATAAAGGTTGAAATGCTATTGTATTAGATATTTTGTGTCTGTATACGTCTGCAAGATGTCTGTTAAAGATCTCTTGATCTGGAAAGCACCTGCTGTATACAAACGTCTGGCAGACGTCTGTATGATGTCAGTTTTACACACATTCTGAATCGCAAACATCTTAAAGATGTCTAATAGAAGTCTATTTCACATCTGATAGGAAACGTCTTGTAGATGTCTTGCAGATGTGAATGCAGATGTCAAATAGACATCTCCGAGATGTACGTGTGCTAATCAAAATCGGCCATTAAGAATCAAGATCGGCGCATAACCAAAAAGAAAATGGGTGCTCCGAAATTTTTTGGGATGCTCCTAACTTTTTGAAGTTGGGAGCACCAGTCCTGCCAAGTAAAAAGGTTAATTTCGAGCCCTGTAATGTATGTATGCTAATGTTAAATCTTTAGCTTAGTTTGTCAACCACGCTGCTTGTGGCTGTAAGTAAATTATGGGCCAGGCCAGCTAACGTTTCTGAGGGTACAGTTGTCTCGTGTTCTCCTGTTCAAAAATAAATGTTTTTAAATCAGAACTTGCATCAGTATCATGGATCAAAATGTCAGTACACAAACCCGATGTAGCCTACGGTTTAAAGGTATTTAAGCACAAGTAGGCCAAATGCATCAATTTGGAGGTGAATGAAAGAACCAGTCATTATTATAATCTAATTTGATAATAGATTAAAACACTATTTGTGCATGTTT